GTCCTCAATCCCTCATGCGAACCCTGGATGGCGGCGATGACGGGGCAGGACATAACCCTGTCTGCCCCGCAACCCCCGCTTCCGCCGCCTTGTGGTATGCCGTTCTTCCGAGCTGCGTTTCGCTTGCCCGCCATGATGGCGTCAGCCTTTTCGCGGGCCAAGTTGGACAAAACCACTTCGCTAGCCTCGCAGTAGCCTGTGTTCTCCGCGGCTTTTCTGCCCTTCCTCTTGCTGTCCAACAAGGTGGTGCGAAGCTTGATTCCTCGTTCGTGTGGGGACCACTTGTGGATAACCTCGTATCTTGTTTGGCCAGCATACATGATGCGTGTACATTCGCCAGCGGCAGTCACCGCTGGGCCCTGGCCGCGCAGCATTTTCAAGCCCGCTTCCCACCACCACTTTTTGTCTGACCAACTTTCTGAGTGGCTCTACCCCCCCTAATTCGACCAAGCGGAATCGATTGGCGACGATTCCCGTGGCGAAAAAGTTCGGCAATGCGGCGAAAAAAAAAGTTCGGGCTGAAGGGGAACTTTTTTTTTTTGGGAACTTTTTTTAAACGTCGTTTTTGGGCGTTTGAGAACGATCTGCGAAGTCAATTTTTTTTTTTTTTTCTTCTCCGAGGTGGGAAAGGTGATTCGCCTTTAGCTCGGAACCCGCCTAATGTGAGAAACAACAACAACAACAACAAAACTTTCTTTGTAGAATTACAAAGAGAGAGTTCGTATTATTTTGTAGCCCACGGAGGCTCATTCATCAGTCAATCAAGTAACTAAGGAGTCGTAGTGGTGAGAGTGGCTCATCATCCGAATCGGCGACAACATAGATTTGGAGGAGAGAAATTACAAGACTGTCATTGTTGTTGTTGTTGTTGTTGAACCGCGCTACATGCGATAGCTATAATAGCTAGCATCAGAAGCGACCGTGGCCCGTGGTTGATGATGATGATGACCTGTCGAGGACCTAAAAGATACAAGGCCAGGCCCGGTGATGCAGGGTCGGTGGATCGGTACACATCAACGCCATGGCAAACGATCAGAATGTTTATCAGAGGACATCAGGATGCATTCGCAGGACACAGGATACCCTTATCCGACACCCGCCTGAGGACAGAGTCTGCCACAGCCGTTAACAGAGTCTGCTGTCTCCAGGAGGGCACGTGGATTGCAATCCCCCGCACCTATGCCCCCCCCCCGCCCCCCCCCCGGTCGAATTTTTGGCTTATCGAGATTTTGTCGATCTGTCGGATACACGACCTCATTGGTTGCTGAATGCTCTCTGGTGAAGTTCGTAGGCAGCGGGGG